AGGAGTTTGGCATTGACTGCACCCTGAAGGAGCGGATCGAGGAGAACGGCTACAACACCTATGCGTCGGCCGAGTGGAGGAACAAAAAGAGGCAAATGTTCGTGGGCTTGAATGTCCATGGGAGGCCGCTCAAGGGCAAGAAAACCCGCAGGAAGAACACGGCTACACACTTCCTTCCAATTATGGTGTGAACTGGAGGACAGAGCAATGGACAGAGGAATTTTTTTTTTTTTCGATATGGAAAACTGAAAAAGGAAAACACTTCCAATGGAAAAATCTCTCATTTGGAACCGAGGCACTAACACTGTTAGGAGAATGGTCTCTGCAAATGACTGTGAGGGAGGTTGGGAACTGGTGTTGGTGAGAGATGAAGATGGAATCTGTGTTTTCTGTGGCACAGGATGCAACATTTATTCTTTTTTTTTTCTGTGCCAAACAGTTTACACCTGGACTGTGTGTGTAATACCGACAACACAGAAGACGCCGTCCCCAGGTGTAGACAGTCCGTTAGACGCAGAAAGTTATTTATAGTCCGGTCTCCCCCATGAGACGCAGAGGAGGCCAGATTAAAAGTGACAGATAAAAGGACGAGAACGAATGTCATTTTATGAGCGGCATCATGAAATAATAGAGGATACCACGCATTTAAAGCAAATGTTTAATACTTAACCACTGTGTTCTGGCTGTATTGTTATGATTTATTTATTTTGTGAAATATTTAAACTGGAGGGAAACACTTGCAGCAAAGCATTCCTTTGCATGCTTTACTTTTTATAGAAACTCTATCATGTGAAAATAAAACTACCACTTTCCTCTCCGCAGCCACTTCCTTTCGTGTTTGTTTGCGAGTAGTGCAGAGAAATCTCGCCTAAATGCTGAGGTCACGGTGAGTTAAATCTTATCTAGGTCTCCGAGGTAGAATCGGAGGACAAAATGTGGCCATTAATTCCCCGCCAGATATTCCATGTGGCAACCATTGTGCTAATGGTTGGTTTCAAACAAACGGGAAACACACAAGACTAACCGCAACAAAATGGGAGGGAGAAAACATCCTTGGAATGGCTGCTGGATGCTGACATCACACCCCAATATCAGCTCGATGCAGTGAAGCTGCAACAATCTCTGAATGTCGGAAAGGTTTGTGGTAAAGATGAGGCAGCGTTTCAGCACCTGCTGTTAGCAGCAGCAGCAATGTTAAATAAAACGATTTCTCTCTGTGTTGGCCTGCAGCGCCATTGTCTGATGGGTTTCTATTATTGGAAGTGTATAGACAATAATGTACATCAAGAAGAGATATATGAGTGGTGTCTGACCACACACTCTCCCCTAATAATCATCTGCAAACACACTAATCAATGACAGCTGCCCTGATGCCAGATCAAAAGAACGCAGGGAGAACATTAACACTGCAGCCTTCCAGGCCTCGTGTGCTCTTATCCTCCCTCTCTGAACATCTATTTTAGGATATGCGTGAGGAATCAGGAGAGCGTAAGGACAGGGAGGTGAGGAGCGAAAGGCTGCAGCTCCCTGTTTTCATCCACCTCGGCCTCCGTCATTGCCTCCGGGAGCGACCTGAGCTCCAGGAATCCAACATAAAGAAAACCATGGTCTCCAGGCTCAGTGGTGTCGTCCTCTAACAGCTGTGTGAGGAATCACCGGAACAGACGGTCAGTGGTGAGGAATGCAGCAGCAATTTCCACCGCAACAGTAGCAACATATGGAATCCTGTCCCATGAATTCATCTGCAATGTGTACAGCGCCATCTATTACATTTTATTCTCTAAAGTCTTTATGCAATATGCTGTGGCTGCTGCACATTGAAGGCCACATGTACAGCAGGAGTAGCCTCGTGTCTCTGAGCCTTAGAATTCTGAGATAAATCTGAGATTTGACAACTTCATTTTCATTTTATATAAAATTTAAATTCTGGACTGAGATTCAGTCTTCTGCATTGTGTGTGTGTGTGTGTCCAATGGCCCTCAAATTGAGGTCCGCGGACCACATCAGGGCTGCGAGCCACTGATTGAGCTGAACACGTTAAAGAAGGCTGCTTTCCTTTTCCTCATGGGACGTCAACTCCATGTCAACAATGCTGTTGGGCTGTTGTTTGCAAGAACTCTTTAACTTTAGCTTTGAAGCGGTCGTTTATTGAAACTGCTTGGATGTAATTCAATGTTAGGTTCTAAAAGAACAGTGCATTATTATTATATTACATATAATTATTATAAACATGACTGTGTACCAGCAGGTGGTTTGACCAACTATAATAACTGGACGATCATGTTGCTTCACTATATCCATCCTAAAAACCAGACCGTTGACTGGTTGAAAGACAACCTTGTCATAAACCAGGGGCGTCAAACTCGTTTTCACTGGGGGCCACATCATCAATACAGATCTCTTGAAGGGCCAGTTGTAAATGGAAGACTGTATAGATCAGGGGTCCCCAACCCATGGTCCGCTGACCAGTACCAGTCTGTAGGACATTTGGTACCAGGGCCACAGTGGGACACAGTGAAAAAATGTACTTAATTTTTACTAATTTACTTCATTCAAATAAAATCCAGTCATATACATTTACTTTTTTTATTTAAAGATAATCTGGCAATATTTTAAAATAATAGGTCATTCAGACTCTGATACAAACAGAACAGAGTCTAAAAGATGTTTTATTTTGAAATTTTAATGATTCTTCAATCCTCAGTACCTTATTAGTGGTCTGTAGTAACAGCTGGTACTGGCTGACCAGTCCTTGGAACAAAAAAGGTCAGGGACCACTGGTATAGATGTAACTACTCCATAACAGACTGATACATGTTCCTGCAATTGATTATTATTTGTTCAAGCTACAAATATTGTTCATTTCTATATAATAAAAAAAACTTTTAGGTTCGTTCAAATATTTTTCAGGTTAGGAAACTCAAAATGGCTTGGCGAACCGTATGTGGCACCTGGGCACGTGTCATACATTAAAATGTTTAAAAAAAAAAAAGCATGGATATCCTCTCAAAGTCCCTTTATTTAATCATCCATGAATCTTGGATAGCTACAGGTCAGCAGACTGGTGACCACTGGGCTGGTCCAGGCAGAGCAGGGGTTAAAAAAATAGCCATATTTATAGATGTTAGCTCTTTAAACGGAAACCTTGTGGACAAACAGTTCAGAATGTGTGAGTGACATGACTGCCACCTACTGCTTGTTTTTTTAATTTATTTTTGTTTAAATCTAACATTTTATTTATGTTTTTTTTTATCATAAACAGCTGGAATAATTTACAGATCTAAGAGTTGGATTTACGGTGCGGGGTTGGGGAGGAGGTGGGGGTTTAGCCATTCCCAGAAGTCATTGGGGCTGGGACAGTAGAGTACCTGAACAGTTTACCAGTCAATTGCTGGGCCACACATACAGATGAACGACCATCACACTCACATTCACGGTCCAAGTGTCGGACTGATGCATGTGTTTGGATTATGGGAGGAAATCAAAGAAAGAAACTGCCATCAGAACCAGTCTAGTACTAATCCCACATGTACTGTAAGGTCTGCAAATAGTTTGAACCCTGTCCATGACACTGAAACTGTGAAGGAAAACTGGGGAAAACAGAAAGTTGTAATCTTTTATCAAAGTGAGTCGCTGCACTTCTGGCATTGGAATTCTCTGTGGCATAATGTGATCCAGCTTTAGGAAACAAGTGGAAAATGACTGCGGGCCACAAGAACTAATGAATACTTACACTAAGAAGTCTGGTGCAACATGTGTGTGTTTGTAGTGGGCTGCTACTGAATGAGTTGTGGTGCAGAGCTACAGTATCTGAGATAAACACTGAAGGACAAGATTTTAAAAAATGTTCTTTAAACAGTTCAGCTCACACAACCGTAGAAGATTTATGCAATATCCTGGATTATTAAAAACATAAGAAACTATATATATAGTCTTTATCTGCTCCATTAACAACAGCTGCTCCTTTTTTAGGGGCACGTAACACACATATGTGAGTTTGGCACAGGTTTTTATGCAGGATGTACTTCCTGACGCAACACTCACTGGGAGTGAGACTGGGGGACGTCTGAGCTATGATTTATATACTATAAATATACTGTTCTGTGAACTGTTGTGTTTCTCTTTCTGGCCTTACTGTCTAATACAGTATGTCTCAAGGTTGTGTAGTTACTTTTAAAAATTGGTGCTAAACAATTAAAATATTAAAATATATAATATTCATCTTAACGTATATAGAATTGTGCAGTTAATGGAGCATAAATAACTAATAACATTTAGTTATTATAAATAATAATAACAGTGTTATCTGTTCAATCAGATGTGTAACACAGGAGAAAACAGTGTTACGTGACCCACCCTTAGAAAACAACTGATTGCAGTTTATATTCCAGTGTTTAATATATTTTAGTTACATTTCCATTGAAGTTGGCAAATCTTATTTTCATACATTTTTGTTTCTCTGTTTAGCGCTGTCTTTTTTGTTATTTTCATTGTTCTATTTTCTAACATTTGGAGAAACCTTATTGTTATGTAAACGCGTGTTACATAACAGTGTCCTCCAAACATGTGAAGAACCTGTTAAGAGAGAAACTAGCTCTAAATCATTTTGACAAGCTCTCGTTATAATTTCAGGCTGCAGTGTGGACTCCGCACCAGTAGATGGGGCTGTTTTTATTTCCGTTACTAACTGCGGACATAAGAACAGCGGTAGTTTGTTGTTAAAGGAAGTGGCCCAAACAAGTTGTGTACATACGATTGGCAACGTTGGACACCATGAAATACAGATAAGGTGTTAGTTGTATTTACCATTGCCCAGACGCGAGAAAGAAAACATAGAACGGTGTCCGGACGGTGTTTACTGTGCGTTGTTTAGATTTAAAAGCAGAGGTTGACAAGCCTGTAGTCATGAACCAGAATTTCGACCGAGCCCCTGGTGGCACATTCGGCGGTCAAGGCGACGCTATAACGACGCTGTTCAACCAAAGAGAGCCGCTCAGACAACCAAGGACCTCACCGCCGTTACCAGATAACAGCTACCTGCCCAACGAGGCGGGTGTCAGAGGAGGTAAGGAACCCGTTTATTTTAATGGTGTACATTTATATGGTGCTGGTTTCACTTTTAAGTTCATGCAACGTGGGTAATGAATTACAAGTAAACTAGCAAATGTCTGTTAACACCGTCGGTAACGTGGAAGAAAAGCAACAACTTTGGTTGTGTTTGGAACCTAGCTGTGAAATTACGTTATCGGTAGCCTGTCTGTTTTTTGACTACCGTGAAGTTGCTTTTCGGTTGGCTATCAACTGAGATTACCACTGTCAGGTTCACTAGGTTAGAACCACGCCATGTGACAAACTAACCCAGCCAAAGATTCACTAATAATATACAGTTATGTTCAATCAGATATAGTTCTGTTTGTCTACATGACCAAGCCCCCTCCTCCCCCCCCCCACCCCCCCCC